TTATTGTAATAATAAATCCACTATAGTAAAAAAAATAAAAGTTAGACCTAAATAAATTTTTTTCTGTGGTTTTGAACAATATAAATGATTTTGATAAGACAAAAATAACAGTTGTGATGAAAAAACATATCTATTTATAATGAAAAGAAAAACCATTTATAATAAAACGAAGCAACCATTTATAATGAAAATGTGCAACTACAAATTTTGAAACGATACAACCTTGTAAAGGATAAGTGGCATTTATTCAGATATTTATGTTTTGCAAGTGACATTTATTCGGATAGTTACTAGTTTTGTCACCAGTCACCTTTATAGTAAGAAAGTAAAAATCAGACCCAAATAATTATTATAGATAGATAAAACATACATTAAAAAGATTAAAAAAAATGTTTGACTTAGTAGAAAGAAAACACAACCCTTGAATTATTAGATTTTATTTCATATAAAAGAATGCTGACATAAAAAACTTTCATTATTTCAGAGCTTATTGTAATAATAAACCCATTATAATAAGAAAATAAAAGTTAAACCTAATAAACTTATTATAGTAAGAAAGTAAAAGTTAGACTCAAATAATTTTTTTCTGTGGTTTTGAGCAATATAAATAGTTTTGAAAAGACATAAATTATAATTAATGAAAGAACGCATTGGTAATGAAAAGACGCAACCACAAATTTTGAAAAAACACAATTTTTCAAAGTGCAATTGGCATTTATTCAGATTGTTATTATATATAGATAACATATGCCATCAAAATTCAAACTAGGTTGGTCAGCATCGGGCTCGATGCGTCTAGTCTGACTTAACCACGAGTTACAAACCACGGCTCCTTTACTCATGGCACATAGCAAAAACCCATTGCAATCGGCCAAGTGTTCAAGTGGCCTCTGATGATTTAAATCGGGGATATCTAAGGTTAGCTCACGTACTTCTATCTTGGGTTTGAGGCTTACGGAATAAATCTTCGATTTAGTTGTTATAATAAATCGAAACGTCATCTTGTGGTTGTTGATGAACGTCTTGTCGTCGAAGAGAGCGTTCCATCGTTTGCAAACGGTTCTGAATCGGACAAGATGTTCAGGCGGGACACGAGAGAGGATCTCTTCCACCAAATCCCATGGAAGGTTCTCCTTATTCGCCATTTAGGTCTTTTGTTTTTCAAGTAACTACTTTTTTTTCTTTCAGATTGACTACTTTACTTATATAAAGTTTTCCCAGTTAGGGCATCAACCGAATGTTCGTTGAATATATCTCCAATAATCCAGAATTCATAAACACCACCAAATTAAATTGTACAAAAACTAAACAATGAAAATACCACCAAATAATTGTTTAGCTTTTTTTTTTTTTTTTTAAGAAAGTATCGATGGAGCAATTGATAGGGTTTTATATAGTAAGTAGTAACGGTAACGTGTTTGGTGTGTGTGTAGGGTTTAGATGCTGGAATGTGGCCAGAGTGATAAGATGCCTTGATCAAGACGGTAGTTTCTAACGATAACATTGTCTATTCCGCTAAGCGTAAGAGCAACCCCAATGGTAACACCATTATAAGGGATCTTATTGATTAATTAATAATATTTTGTGTACTTTATGTGTATAAGACACTTTGTAGAATTTTGTTGTTTTTAAGCATACAATAGAGACACTTTGATGGGTGTCTTAAAAAAATATATATAATTTTTTTTTAATAAATTTATGTAAAAACTTGTTTTAACAAATTTTAAATCATAATATATTTTCACAAAGGTAATACATAGAAATATATAAATTATAGAAATACAATTCAGTGCTTGTTGAGAAGCCTTCTTCTTTGGAATTCCAGTGTTTGTTGCTAGGCCTGAGACTTCAGATACTTCGGATAATTCGGATAATCAGATAGTTCAGATTACTGAAATTCTACCGAAATAACCGAAATTTAATTCGGTTTGGTTCGGTTTGGATATCGGATAGTTTGGATTTTAATTTTCTTATCTAAAACTATCTGAACTTTTTTTTTTAAATTAGGTTAAATTCGGTTAATTTCGGATAGATCCGGGTTATTTCGAGTATTTTCGGATCATTTCGGATAGTTCGAATATTCGGTTCGGTATAATTTGGTACAATTTGGTATATTTTGGTATAACTTGGTTTTTTTTTAAAAAAAATCTGGTAACCGTTCGGTTCGGTTCGGATATCAGATAGTTCGGATATTAATTTTCTTATCTAAAACTATCCAAACTTTTAATTTTTTTTTGTTTAAATTAGGTTAAATTCGGTTAATTTCGAATAGATTCGGGTTATTTCGGGTATTTTCGGATAATTTCGGATAGTTCGAATATTTGGTTCGGTATAATTTGGTACAATTTGGTATATTTTGGTTTTTTTTTAAAAAAAATCTGGTAACCGTTCAGTTCAGCAAACCGAACCAAACTGAACCGATAACCGAACGAGATTTAAAATCTGTCCGATCGGTTTTCCTTCAATAACCGAATCAGAACTAAAAACCGAAAAAATTCGGTTCAGCTCGGTTCAGTTTAAAATCTCAGGTCTACTTGTTGCAATCAGGAGAAACAAAAACAAAAAAAAAAAGATTTTGTGTGTTAATTTTTTTGTCCACTCACATGTTGACACATGTCCGTTCTAAACTCAAAAAAGGGATCATATATTAGACATTGATCTTATATATTAGACACTCTTTCTAATTTTTTTATTCAATTATAATATTAGATACTCTTCATTAGATCTCTTAATGTCACCATTGGGGTTGGTCTAAGGGTAACTTAAGTATCTTTTGTTTTGTTCCCATATAATTGTATTGCATTGATTAACTCTCTTTTTGATCTATTGAGGTATGTACACTACCTAGTATCCCGAACAAATATAAAACAATATTAACTAGAATTCAAAAAAATAGCCCGAACAAAAATTTAAAACAATTTAGTGTCGACAAAATAAAATTGAATAACTGAATAAATCCTTCGTATGCTTCATCAAATGCATGGTGATTTAGATTGAGCCCCGACTAATAGTCTTGTAACGTCTGTTACGTCTCCGACCAAATTTTATTTAATTGCACACAAATTTCTAAATTTGTAATTGTACTAAAGTATTATCTACTGATGTTTTGTGTTTGGTTTGCACCTACGTTTACATTAGGTCCCAATTAAGTTGAAAACGACGCTTGTGCTCACCATTATGTTCGGACGGTGATGTGGAAATTAAGGAAATGAATTGGGAAGCTTCCAAGAACCTCATCATATTTGATTCCAACCCTTTTTGGTTGGAATGTAATTCATATATACAGTTTTCATTTTGCATAATTGCATTGTTTTTATGGTTTGACGACTGAACCGGCGATCAAAGCATATTTTTGGACTTCACTTTTTTTATCCGCATCTTCGTTAACAAAAATGAACTGAAATGAGTCATGAAGTCACAACAAGTCCTAATCAAAAGCCAAAACTGGCTTATCTATGGAGTATTAACCAATTAGTTCAATGAAAGTAATAATAACCAGTAAAATAATATATAACCGAGGCATACAACAATACAGTCATATAAAAAACAGAACCAAAGAAAATTCTCAAACAAAACTTATATTTTGTTTTGCTTTCTAAAATCTCCAATGTCAAAAGCATTCTTAATTTAGGTATTTTCTAAATGAGTATTTGGAATTTTGTTTCTTCCACATCATCGAAACCACAAATACATGCACAAGCCGGTTACTAGTGTCGCACCGGTTTAATATAAACCTTTACAATAATTATATCCCATTGCCCTTTTACCAAGTGGACCCTACACTCTGGACTCATCCTTACCAAGTGGACCCTATATTTTAAACCGGCGGCAACTGAGGCAACTGAGGTAAACCGGCGCCGGATTTGTTTGCCTTCAAGTAGATCAAGAATTCACTTGAGGTGTTGTAAACAACGGCGGAGAGCCAAAGAAGCCAGAGAAGAAGAAGGACCAAAGCAAAGGTCGAGCAAACTACAGAGACGAGCACGAGAGCGGCTAGAGCGCCGAAGAGATGGCTCGTGTTTCCGACGAGCCTCGGGACTAACCCTGGTTGTAGCCGCACGTCCATGGCTTCACGGACGCGAAAAACGGCGTAGAGCAAAACGAAAACACAGAAACAGAGGAATTCTGCTTTATGCGTTTCAAAAACAGAGGACTTTTGGTTTGTGAGCTGAAGTAATCCTAGAATCCCGGTGTTGATCATGACGACGACTTTGTGGACTGCGGAGGAGTATGTGGTGAACTTCTCCGTTTCATCCCCGGAGATTGGGAGTGTTTGGTTAACGGCAGAGACAGTCTCCATCTTCTATGTGTGTTTATTCTCTTTTATTTTTCTTGGTCTTTGAACTCGATATCTGAACGTTTTATAAGAGGAGTGTGAGAGCAGGTCCTTTATCTGCATGAAATGATGACCGTCCGATGAGCTCCCCAACGATCGAGATCTTCCGTGTTTTGCCTTTAGCGACGAGCTGACGACATGTATGACAAAACAAAAATTGGGAAGAATTGTTTTTTTGATGCATTGGGAAAAATTGACGAGCTCCCTCAAACATATGTTTTTTTGATGCCCTTTTACCAAGTGGACCCTACACTCTGGACTCATCCTTACCAAGTGGACCCTATATTTTAAACCGGCGGCAACTGAGGTAACTGAGGTAAACCGGCGCCGGATTTGTGAGGAAAGTGAGGAGAAAATCGTGTTTACAAACCGTGTCATACAATCCACACGCCAATCCGCATGTCAAATGACTTTTGACCTTAGCTTTAAAACATTAAAAGGTTTCGAACTTTTATGTTTAGACGTCAAAAATATTCTTGTTTTTCCTCTTGAAAGATAGTATAAAAATAGATTTAAGCCAGAAAGTTGGTTCCTTTTTTATTGATTTCATACTTTGTGGTAAGGGAAGTGCGTTCGTTAGTGCTAAACAGGTTTTGTACGCTCGATCCTTCAAAAGCAGAATTCCAAACACTCCCAATCTCCGGCACTTAAACACACATAGAAGATGGAGACTGTCTCTGCCGTTAACCAAACACTCCCAATCTCCGGGGATGAAACGGAGAAGTTCACCACATACTCCTCCGCAGTCCACAAAGTCGTCGTCATGATCAACACCGGGATTCTAGGATTACTTCAGCTCACAAACCAAAAGTCCTCTGTTTTTGAAACGCATAAAGCAGAATTCCTCTGTTTCTGTGTTTTCGTTTTGCTCTACGCCGTTTTTCGCGTCCGTGAAGCCATGGACGTGCGGCTACAACCAGGGTTAGTCCCGAGGCTCGTCGGAAACACGAGCCATCTCTTCGGCGCTCTAGCCGCTCTCGTGCTCGTCTCTGTAGTTTGCTCGACCTTTGCTTTGGTCCTTCTTCTTCTCTGGCTTCTTTGGCTCTCCGCCGTTGTTTACAACACCTCAAGTGAATTCTTGATCTACTTGAAGGCAAACAAATCCGGCGCCGGTTTACCTCAGTTGCCTCAGTTGCCGCCGGTTTGAAATATAGCATTGAACTAAAATAACTATACGGTAATTGTTTTTCGTTTCATTAGTTTGATTTGATTTGATAAAATCGCATATTGGTTAATAAGCCGTTAGTTGTTTATTTTCAAAAACTTAATTATATGCCATTTGCAGTCGGTTTCCCGCTTTGTCGTCCTGTTCGTTTAACTGATGATAATCATTGAAGCAGTATATTCTTTATCACAAGGATAAAATATTACCAATCAAACTTATTGTTTTACTGATTAAATAGCATTTATGTTTTGTTTGTATATCCATTTGATTGATAATAATTCAGAGACGATATACTTTGTTCCACAGTCGATAAGCAAACTCGTTATCTTACTGATAAAAAATTAAATGTCACCAAAAGTAAGAAAAAGTCATCTAACTAGGTAAATTGAAGTTTAGTGAGTTAGTTTAATCACGGTTAAAAAGTAGTAAGCATAGTTGGAGATCTGGTCGGCGACAATATAGGAGACACTTTCAATGGTCCCTCACTGCATCCAAGTTAATAACTACTAGATTTTGGACCCGCGCAAGGTACGCAGGTTTCTTTTCATAAAATATTTTTAGGCTACAACAAAAATCAGTTTATGTTATTAAATCTAAAATTATGGTTCAAGTGAAAATTGATTTGATTTAGCTTAGAGTTTGTTTACTTTTGTATAGACAATAAAATGAATTATTTTTTTTTGTCTGAAATTGAGAAAGTTTCCTCTCAAAGTAATCTCTAACATTTCGATTTAGTCACCAAAATTTTGTCTAGATTTTAGATTCGCGCTATGCACATAGTTTTTTTTAAAAAAAATTTGCTCCATTCAAAAATAATTTTTGTTGTTAATACAAAAACTCATTCAATTTGTGTGGGATATATTTTTTATTTTTTCTAAATTTTATATTTAAATTCTAATCTATTTGTATTAGCTTAAACTTTTATTTTTTTATTTCATTTTATTTATAAGAACCAAAAGAACTGAATATTTTTGTATATAGATTAGCATAGGTTATAACCTATATGTGATAATATATTGTTCATTCATCATTTATTTTAGTTTTTTAATACAGATTTTCTTTCTATTTTAATTGTTGGTATTTATTATATATAGTTTATTTTCTAACATATAACCCGTCAACCGTTAATTAAAAAACTGTTTGATAATTTTGAGTTGCTTATCATCTATAATTTATTTTATTTTTATCTTGTTTGAGTCTTTTGCCATCATCCATGGATGATAAGTATCAAATTACTATTTTTGGTATTTTTTGTGCATTATAAATTGTTATTATATTATTATCTTTTTATATTTTCTATTTCATGAAAAATATATTTGCGTAAGGTTTGAGATGTGTTGATGATTTTAACTTTTTAAGTCTATATTCCAATCCGCATATAATCATTTTTTTGCAAGGAAAATTATATTTATATAAGGTTTGAGATGTGTTTATAATTTTAAGTTTAGATTCTAACTCACCCGTAATAATTTTTTATATGAAAAATATATTTGTATACAGTTTAAAATGTGTTAATAATTTAAAGTCATAATTCTAACCCGCCAATGATAAATTTTGTTTTTAATTAGAAAAATATATTTGTGTAAAGTTTGAGATGTATTGATAATTTTAAATTTTGATTCTAATTTGTCTCTATGTTTGAAAATGTATATTTTCGTAAAGTCATAATATATGGAGAAATAAATGAAAGTTGAACAATGAGTATCCAAAAGCATATTTATAAGGTATTACAGTAGAAACATTATAAAGTTATAATGTTGCAACTTTGATATTTTATTAATTTATCAGTTTTCGATAAAATAATTTTTTAATTAATAATTAATTAAAAATTAATATTTTCTTGAAAATTTATAATATTTGCTAAAAAATTTATTATAAAATTAGAGACAAAAGATAAATAAATTTTAATTAAGTTTGGTCGTTATTGATTGTTTTGTTTAATTAGTTGGTATATAACCTAAATTTCTGATTATGAGCCAAAATATTAGATTAATTCTAATTTTGTATTTTTTAAATGAAAATTTGATTTTCTAATTATATGGATAATGAGCTGCCATTAATAAAAAAATAGATAAATAAACAATATTTTGAAAACACATGTGCATAAATATAAATTGGACGATTTGAAGGAGTAGAAGTAAGATTTGCTAATTTTCTGCGAATTGATGGGCAAATAAGTAATCTATTGAACATTTATTAAAAATAATAGCTATTTATCTATTTCTACTGTAAAATTAAATTTTACGGGGTATATCTATAAAAAAAATAAGAGACTAAACCCGCAAAAGTTGAAAGAAAAACCAATTCTAATATGAACCAGAAAAAATTTGACCCGTAAATGTGATCCGTAAAACATGATCTCATGCTTTTTCTTTTTCACGATTCACAAGTTATTCCCCAGAATGAACTCTAAACTTTTGTTTTTTCTCAGTTATGTTAGTATTGTTTTAATAAAAGTTGTTACTCTAAATTTCACTTAACAATACAACCTCGTGAAAAAAAAACTGAAGTAGATCTACATTCATAAATTCTGTGTTTTTGACTATGTCCTGAAATTTTTATTAATGATCTTAAGATTTCTAACAATAGTTTTGCAAGATTATTTGAATCTCAGGTTTTTTTAAAATATATTTATCTGAAATGTTCTCTGCAATAAAAATTTCTTGCATTTTGTTTTTAATTTATTTTGGTAAGTTAAAATATAAAATCTCACTTTTTATTTTTTTCAAATGGCCTAAAACTTTTACTAATGATCTTAAAATTCCTAATAATAATTTTGCAAAATTTACTCAAATCTCAGATTTTTTAAAAATATTTTTGTTTGAATTTAGTATATTTATTTTTTGTTAATAGATTAAACTAATTAATCAATATGTGTGATAGTGTATTAAAATTACAATGGTCTTTCATATTATGGCAAAAATAATAAAACAAAAATACCTTTAATGCAATAACGTATATTGTAAATCCCATAATAATTTTGAATATTTATTAAGAATAATTCTTTTTTAATAGTTTAATTAGTTCTCTATTTATAGTTGGTTAGAATCTTCTACGTGTGTGGATGACTTTTTGTGTATGTCTTGTTAATATACATTAGATGATATCCCATGTGTACACATGTTTAAATTATATTATATGTTAGAGTTATGATTAATATTTTATTTTATTTTATACATAGTGATGATATAATTTGAAGTTGTTAACTATATATATACATAAATATTGTTTGAATTTATTGGTACAATTTCGATAGAAATGTCTTAAGTTATTATTTTGTGGAAATTGTTCCGTCACACTCACAAAATTGTCCTCACAAAAAAACTAACATTCTCACAATTAAACAACTGCAACTTTATAATTTATTCTTTTTTGTTGTCTCTAAAATTGTAGATGAAGTGAATACACTTCTCTCTTTTCGAGCAGATCATAATCATAATTTATTTTTATATAATAAAATTTCGATAAAACTACAACTTGCCTCATTTCAAGGTTGTTAGGGTGGCCAACAACACTACATGTCTCTCGATCAGTTCCTTCATAATTTTTGGTCATGGTTTTTTTCTTTTTTTTGCATTAATATATTAATTTTTCATGTCGAAAAAGGAAGGAGGCCTAGGCCTGAGAGACATCCAAACCCCTCAATCATGTCTTACTAACAAAATAAGTTGGGGCATCTTCGAAAATCTGGACAATCTTTTAGCCTGTACCTTCAAAGGAAAATACTGTCAGCAATCTTCGTTTCTGGAAAGCGAAATCACCTCCTCTACTTCTCATGGATGGCGAAGTATATGTGCAGGAAAAGAGCTCCTAAAACTCCACCTCGGCAAGGTTATGGGCAATGGAACAACAGCATCTGTATGGTACGACCTGTGGCTATCTTTAATTTCCCCACTGTCCCCAATGGGACCTCCGACATAACACCACCAACATCTTACAGTTGCGGATGTAATCTCCCCTGAAAACCAAGAGTGGAATATGGTGTTAATTCAAGAGATTCTACCATCTTACACACACATGATTAGAGATCCAAAACCAAGTAAACGAAGAGCAGCGGACAAGTATGCTTGGTTAGCTTCTAAAACAGGAACCTACACAACCAAATCAGGCTACTAAGAAGTGGCCAAAGAACAACATGAAGACTACCAACGACCCCCTACGATAGGCTTCAAGTGGAAAACTACAATCTGGGATATCAAAAGCTCCCCTAAGACAAAACTGTTTCTATGGAAGACTATGCATGGAGCGATTCCCCTCGGAGCTAATCTGCAAGCCAGGAACGTGGATATCCAAAACTGCTGCTCTAGATGTAAGGAGGAAGAGACAGACTTACACTCTTTCTTTCACTGCACCTTCGCCAAGGAAGTTTGGAAAGCAAGCCCCTTTCAAAGTTCCACTGCAATTGGCAGCTATACAAAGCTTCCGACAAGGAATTGAAGAAGCTAAGAACTGCATCACTCTTCCGCCGACTGGAATAGCCGGAACCCCTCTGTTTCCTTGGATCATTTGGTCGCTCTGGCTGGCTAAGAACAAACTGTTGTTTGAAGACAAACGGTCTACTCCCACAGATTGCCTTCTGCATGCAGTCACCGCAGCTCTAGAATGGCAGGACGCACAATCTAAAGAAACAAAGACCACCACAGCGAAGCCCTCACTAACCCCAATACAGATCGACTCCGACACCGTGAGATGCAACACCGATGCAGCGTGGAAAGAAACCACAAGAGCAGCCGGCTTTGACTGGATCATCAAAACAAACCATAGACCATGGCTTCGCAAATTGTCCTCGGCGGCTTCTAACATCCGGTCCTCTCTTATGGCAGAAGCGATGGCAATCCTCCTCGCTCTGCAACAAGCCCTCGATCTAGGGATCAGAAAAATTCGCATAGCTTCTGACTCACTAAACGTGATCAAAGCAATCAATTCCGGAACTCCACAGTTGGAGCTCCACAGTATCATCAACAATATCCTGTCAATCTCTC